CAAAGAGGACCAATTGTGATCAAGCTTAAAAGCAGACAAAGCCTATATTTAGATGCAGGGAATTCTGATAAAAAGTTGTAAAGAAGAACTCCATAACTTAATAGTTAAATCATCCTTCTCCTCATGGAAAAATTTATTAGAGAAAGAACAATAATAAAAGGCAAACCTTTAAATTTTCTGATGGTGGGCAAAGTACAGGAACTCGACTTGAGCATAACTCCAAGAAAACGACCTGTGAATAACATATAAAAATTCAAGTTATGCTCAGATGCTCAGTAACACCAAGCTTCATTTTACTGAAAAAAAAAAATTAAAAAAACCCAAGCTTCATATTGATTTGTCTGGTTATGATTATGAAACAACATTAAAAGCAGGCAGGTAAAACACTCATCCACAATCAAGTTTAGGCATTAGTGAGTTCACCTGTGGTTTTAAGAAACTGATTACAGCTTCAACTTCTCTACAAGATTCCTGCAACCATCAAAGTAGAAATAAAGGTAATTATCAATCTCTCCAAACAGAACTGGTGATCTGTGAAATCGCCAAAACTAAATGTCCAATGGTTACAGAGCATTTCACCATACTTAAGTGTGTTTAGCTAAATGTGAAGAGAACTATTGGTGCCTAGGTGTTGGGCCACTGCCTAACCTAGCCAGTGCTTAGGCACCACCTAAGGTCCACTAAGCACGGTAGATGTTTTCATTTTTCTGCCAAAAAAAAAAAAAAAGAGGCCAAAATTGAACAGAAAAACCAAAAAGCAGGAGAAAAGCCTAGCTCTGCTGTCTAGGGCCTAGGCAAGGTGGTGGAGCACCACCTAGTGCTAAAGTGGTGACTAACCGCTGCCTAGGTGAGCTTCATGCAACACTGAAGTAAAGTGAAGGGAAGGAGTTCAAAGTGTAAAATCAATTTCCAATTAGTTGTTTTGAATTTATGGTGATTAGATGCTCAAGTACATAAAATCAAGGGACATGTTTTAGAAACGGAATTTTCGAACCTATGCAAGTTAAGGGTGTATTTATTGTACTTTTTTTATCATTAATTTGCATGGAAAAATAAAAGTTGGCTTAAGTTTTATCACTGTACAATTAAATTGTTTCACGTGGCATTGCTGGTGAAAATAAAGCTTCTTTCATAATTTTCCATACAAATTAATGATAAAAAGATATAATAAATGCACCCTTAACCTGTTAGAACATAGGTTAGAAAAACCCTTTAAAAAATTACCAACAATTATACTGGCTAATTTTATTTTATCTATAAAATCAGATAAAAAGACTGTGAAGAGAATTACTACTCAGTTGAGATTTTTCTATTCGTCACAATTTTCTTCAATTTTCATATTTAAAGAAACCCTTCAATTTCTTTTCTCTTCTCTTCACTTATTTTAAACCCAAGAAACAATCAATTCGTTATCTACGTTGTAAATTAACCTTTAGCATGGCAAAACAAAAAGAAAAGAAAACAAAGACAATGCATTATGACTTTCCTTTCTCCTTTAACTCCCACGCTTTTTTATGATCATCTAAAACAGATAGTTAAGAAAGAAAGATTCACACGAATAAAGAAAATACAAGTTTCATACTTTTACCCTATTCCATTTCCCCGAACAGATAATTTTCAGGTAAGCAATGAATTTTCCTTCTTGAAACAGATAGAATGTGAAACCAAATGTGCAGCAGATCGAAGACAATATTGCCTATGTTTTCTTATCAACAAAACAGAAACCAAAATCCAAAAACAAAAGCGAAAATCGCACTTGCCTTAGATACATGAGCAGTCCCAACCAAGTAGACATCGCAAGTGCCGCCCTCCGCAGTAGACTGGCAGGATAGAACCATGACGCTCCTAGAAAGCTCCTCGGGCAGTTCCATCTTCCTTCGCTCAGAAAAATCAGATACCTCGCCCGTCTCAACGTCGTCGCTACCGTCACTAAGCAGCTCGTCTTCGATTTTCACAATGCTCTTGCTCAATGAATCGACGCCACTAGGGTCAGGGCTTTCGATGTGAACAAAATCCTCTCCGGGCGGGGAAAACAGTTCCGTTGTGATTGGGTCCATCGCCGGGCGTTTCCGAATGGAATTTGGAGGGGATCGGCTGAAGGTAATTCGGTGGTTATGAGAAAGGAATTTGGTGGTGGTGACGAGGCGAAGTAACCCGAGCGAGTTGAGCCGGATGAGTGGATGAGTCAAACGAGTCATGAGAACGGTTTTGTTCTTGAATTTTAAGGAATCTTGGAGTTAAAATAGCAATGCTGGAAATCAAGTGGGCGAGTGAATGTCAAGCTGCTTTGGCATCGCCACGTGGAAAAAATGCAATCGAACAATTCTTTTTCCTTTTGATCAATGAAAAAGGTGTCGAGAAAAATGGATGGGAAATTAAGATATTTTAATAATTAAAAAATTAACAATAATAAAAAAGTTAAAATTTTTTAAATAAGTTTTTTTATTTATTAATATAGTAAAGATATTTAAGTAATTTTATAAAAATTATTAATATTTAAAGTGTCAAAATACATGTTTTAATTTTTCAATTTCTTATAAAAAATAACCAAACTTTAAAAATAAAGTGGATGGTTTTTACTATTTAAACTATATTAAAGTGCATAATTATAACTTTTAAATAGATGTCAAATTACAAAACTATAATTTTTAGATGGATGCAAAACCTCATTCTAGGTGTGGAAATTGTTATTCAAAGGTTTAAATCTTTCGTGTTGGTATGATTATAATCACATAAAATTATATTAAGGTTGCATAAATTACGTTGATTATATTTAGTTGTTAAAATATAATTAATATTTAATAAAATAATTAATATTTATTATTTAATAAAATAAAATCAATTTATATTCTAATGTTACTAAACACTACAGCTATATTTTTTAAAAAAAATTATATATTAATAAATTAGTCAAACTAAAAATATTTATAATAATTTATATGTAAACTAAAGACGTTTATACATTACCATAACCACGCCTAAGTTATGCTATCAAGAGAGCAGTGGCACAGCCAGTGGGACTGGAGGGGCCAACCCCCCTAAAATATATAAAAAAGATTTAGTTTAATTATAAAATAAAATAATATGGTACATATGCTAAATAGTAAACCAGGCGAGTTGAGCTGGATGAGTGACTGAATCAAACGAGTCATGAGACCGGCTTCAGTTCTTGGATTTTAAGGAATCATGGAATTTAAATAGCAATGCTGGAAATCAAGTAGGCGAGTGCATGTCAAGCTGCTGTGGCATTGCCACGTGAAAAAAAATATGCAATCAAGCAATTCTTTTTCCTTTTGATGTATAAAAAAGGAGTCGAGAAAAATGAAGGGAAATTAAGATATTTTGGCAATTAGAAGGTCAATAATAATATAGAAGTTAAAATATTTTAAATATTTTTTTATTTATTAATTTATTAAAAATGTTTAAATAATTTTATAAAAGTTATTAACATTTTAAAGTGTCAAAATGCACGTTTTAATTTTTCAATTTTCTTATAAAAAGCAACCTAATTTTAAAATTAAAGTAGATGGTTTTTACTATTTAAGCTATATTAAACTGTGCTATTATAGTTTTTAGATAGATATTACACTAAATAACTATAATTTTAAAATAGATGCAAAACCTTGTTCCGAGTGTGGCATCTCTCATTCAAATGTTTAAATGTTACGCATCTGTGGTTATACTTACATAAAATTGTGTTAACTGTTAGGCCTACACAAATTACACTGGTTATATTTAGTTGATAGAACATAATTAATAATTAATAAAATAATTTATATTTATTATTTAATAAATTAAAATCAATTTATATTCTAATATTTTTAAACACTATAACTAATTTTAAAAAAATTATATACTAATAAATCAATCAAACCAAATATACTTATAAATTATAATAATTTATACGGAGACTTAAGACATTTATAAATAGCCATAACCATGCCCATGCCATGCTATCAAAAAAGAAGGGCACAGCCACTGGACCTGAAGGGCCAACGCCCCTAAAATATATAAAATAAATTAAGTTTAATTATAAAATAAAATAATATAGTATTTATGCTAATTAGGTAAAAAGGCAAATCTAAATTTAATTGTTGATTATATTGTAATTTATTGTCTAAACCCACTTTTTTTCTTGTCTCAATTCGAAATGTAATCTTATTATTCTAACACTTTTTATAATAATAGACTTTTGATTTTTTTTTTTTTCGTTAGGATATTTTTATGCAATTGCTAATTGTTTTTGGATTAAAACTTTTAATTAGTGATTATTTGACTTTAAATTGTCTTAAGTGTAATTGTTAATTGATTATACTATTTAATGTCTAATGTTTATTTAAATCCTTGTTAATTTCAAATTGTGGAGAGTTTATATTAATTTTTTTTTATAGTTTAATACTTATTTTACATTTTCTAACAATTTTATACTTGTCTCTTGAAATTTATTTGTATCTAATAATGAGAATCATTTTGTCATGGGTTGTCCTGCTACCAGAAAAAAATGTGTTTATTGGACCATTAAATTCTACACAGGTAGATATTGGTCTGTATAACAAAATATTTTGGACTAGAGTTGGTATGAACAATTATTGAGTAGCAATATATAAGGCGTCAACTTTTATAAAAATTTATTTTTACATGCCGACTGCAGCCTGGACAAAAATAGCAAATAGTGGCCTATTTTTCCAGGAGCACTCCTTAATATTCCAGATTGAAATCAGTCCGAAAATATAAATTAATTACATCATTAGGTTAAAAAAAGAATTAATTAAGTATTATGTAAAAAATTCTAGACCATTACAGTCTGGATTATTTGAATTATTCCAAATCGATGACGGTTTAGAAAATGATTTAAGCGTTTTGCTATCTATCCACACGTATCTCTTAATTTTTTTGGGACTGATTTCGGTCTAAATAGAGCATCCCAACATTTTGTACCTCGATTAGCCATTGAATAATGATAAATAGACCAAACTTTAAGATTAAAATTTAAGATTAATAATGTGATATAAGTTTTATATTATTTAATAATTAAACTTAATAATATTTATTAAAAATATTAAAAAATAAATTTTATATTATTTAATAATTAAATTTTTTTAAAATTTATAATATTATATATAAATTAATTTAATAACATAATATAAATCACATTATTATCTTAAATCTTTATCCACTCTACCATTACTCTTAGTTATTAGGGCCCACTTGCGTATTAATTTGGACAAGTCTCGCTCTAAAAAATTCTGTATAGAAAATCCATCAGACCTCTTTTTCTTCTTCCTCTCTCCCTTTATGATTCCACCATCTTCTCCCACTCTTTTATGGGTTTTACTTTGTCAAACGTACTCCAAGAACCATCGCCTATCCACCAATGGCAAGTCCCCCTCTTTAAAGAAAATCGATTATGTATGTTTAACTGTTCGTTAAGAGAATTGTTAGTAAAGGAATCGCATGTGGGTGGCTTAATGGGACATTTTGGAGTTAGGAAAACTTTAGATATTCTAAATGATCACATCTTTTGATCACATATGAAACGTGATATTGAAAGGATGTGTGAAAGGTGCATAACATATAAACAAGTAAAATTTAGAGTTTTACCACATGATTTGTATACTCTTTTACCTATACCTATTGAACTTGAGTTGATATATCTATGGATTTTCTTTTGAGCTTACCAACGTTCAAAAGAAGCCGCAATTCTATTTTTGTTGTTGTTGACAGGTTCTCGAAGATGGCACACTTCATTCCATGCCATAAAACCGATGATGCAACTAATATTGCAGATCTATTCTTCAAGGAGGTTGTTTGTTTACATGGCATTCTAAGGACTATCGTTTCTGATCGCAAAGTTAAGTTCTTGGGTTACTTTTCTAAGACCTTGTGGGGAAAGTTGGGAACTAAGTTATTGTTTTCGACTACTTGTCATCCACAAAATAATAGACAAACAAAAGTGGTTAATAGGATGTTGTCAACCTTATTGCATTCTATTATTTTGAAGAACTGAAAGGATTGAGAAGAGTGTTTGCTGCACGTTGAATTTGCTTATAATTGGAACGTTCATTCAGCAACTAACTGTTCATCATTTAAAGTTGTGTATGGTTTTACTCCACTCGTTCCTTTGGATTTATTGCCTTTGCTTATTGATGAACGAGCTAGTTTGGATGGGAAAAACAAAGTTGAAGTGGTTAAGCAACTACATGAGAGAGTATGACAAAACATAGAGCAACAAACTAGCAATATGTAGATCAAGCTGACAAAGGGCATAAGAAAGTTGTGTTTGAACTTAGAGATTGGGTTTGGGTGTATATGCATAAAGAGCAATTCCTTGCACAAAGACATTCTAGGTTGCAACCAAGAGGCGATGGACCATTTCAAGTGATTGCGAGGATTAATGACAACACATATAAGTTGGAGCTTCCTGATGAATATAATGTTAGTGCTACTTTTAATGTTTCTAATCTTTCTCATTTTGATGAAAGTGATGATTTGAGGACAAATCCTTTTGAGGAGAGAGGGAATGATGGGAATTAAGATGATAGCATATACACCCAGTCAAGTGATCCATTACACATTCAAGGAGGTCTAGTCAAGAAAGCTATAGTTAAGAAGATGCGAGAAGTTTTAAATGGCCTTATTGAGTAGATATGGGTTGAAAAGAACATGCAACAAGTAAATCGAAGCTTAGTTGAGGTTATTTGCGCTAAATTACACAGTTTGTATCAAAATCACACAATTCTAACACAATTTGCAACAAATTGATATTTCGTGTTATCTTAGGTTATTTTGAGTGTTTTTCACATTTTTTGTATTATTTTTGGGCTAAACATTCATTTATTTGAAGCCCAATTTGTGGTTATTAGGTTTAGGATTTAGGGAATTAGTTTCCTATTCTGATTAGAATTAGTTTTTGCTATTTAAAGGGCTTGTAACCCTAATTGGGAGGTAGTTTATTGAATTTGAGTTTTTGAAAGACTTTTCTCTTTGATTCGTTTTAGAACTTTATAGAACTTATTAAGATTATTCTTGTGATATTCTAACTTGACTTATTATTCTCGTTCTTAACTGTCTAAAGGTGTGGCATCAACCAACTTTATACCTTTGGATCTTGTTGCGTCATAGACAATGAGTCAAGATCTTTACCTCTGGTTCTTGTTACAACATAAACAATAGGTCAAGGTCCTATCATAAACCTAATTTGGTTTTCTTGGAGTTTCAAAATCCTTTGTTGTGCTATAGGTTTCATTATTCTCTTTGGGGTTCTCCTCCGTTGATTCTTCAAATGGAGAGTTGAATATGCCCAAAGCCTCAAATCTTCCTAAACTCTCTAGAATTAGGAGTTTACTCTTTAACTCTGAGAGTCAAATTTGGAGCATCTAAGAGCCAAATATAGACATGCAGATTCGACTCTTCACTGGATTGATATTTTTCTTCACAATTTGCTCTAGAGTTGAATTTAGAGGCAAGAATCAAATCTTCTTGTACCAAGAGTCAAATCTTCTACATTCGATCTTAATTTCATTAATTGCTTTAGGAAGTTTTGTTGTCATAAAAAATCACTTAGAGTTCAATAATATTTTCAATAGTGTTCAGACCCCTCATCAAGGCAATTAGAGAGTGGTTTGGAAAGATCTAGATGCTTAGGAAACTAAAGCTGTCATGGTGTAGATTGTGCTGTGATAGTTAAACTACTGCTTGAGAGGCAAGATGATGGTTGGAATTGAGAATTTTCGTTGTTGGTTGTCCTTTTCTAATTGTATTAGTATTCAGGCTAATTTGTAGTTTATTAGATTTATTAGTTGTAACATATGAGAATTTTAGATTATTAAGCTGTCTCTTTAATGAGACAGAACCATTTGCAATAACTTTATCTCTTTCAACGATATTTGATAATCTCTTTTCAAAAAAAGAAGGGAAAAAAAAGAACATGCAATTGTTGTCTGTGATCGACTATGAATCAGTTAGGTCAACTATTTGAAAGCAACAAAGGAGGCCTGGAACTTGGCATAAGAAATTTAGTACTTCAAAAGCTTGGGGAGGGATTCCCATTGAAAAGAAAAGAATAGTACGTAGGCCAATATGAAAATGAAATTGTCTTACAGGTTAAGGGAATGAAATGGTTTTGTTTGGATTTGAAAAGATTTCCCGTTATTCTATCAGAAGTTACTAGTAGAAAGGATGTAGTTTTTAAATAAATTGGATTGTGAGGTTGATTCTTGCTCCATAAATTTGGCTCCTGCAGAGCCTATTAAAGAGGGTTTCATTTTTTAAAAAATAATAATAAATAAATAAAACTTGCATTTCGTATAATAACTGCTCTAGAGTATCCTGCAAGCTCCATCTGAATGCATGAATTGGGTATAATCACCATGAGAAATGGGACAAAGATCATTGATTTTTTCTTCTGCTTCAAGATCTGATTATATCCAATCTAATTACTCAGTGAAATCCAGCAAGGCTTCTTCAGAACGCATGAGTTGGGTTTCATCTCCATCGGAAATGAGAGAGGTCACCAATTTCTTCTTCTAAAATCTAAATCTAGTTAGAGAGAGAACTCTGTCGTTGACAATCCTTCAGTAACGGTACACCTTAGAAGAGCATTAACTGTTGCTCCCCTTGGTGTCACTCTGCACCATAGAAAAAGTATAAATAAAAATATTAATTTTATATTTTATATTTAAAAA